CCAGACTGAATGGACATATGCTTGAGTCAGGAGTGTCCTCAGTGGGTTAAGACTGAAATTACTGTGCAGTTGAGAGGATGAGGGAGTCTTTATTTTACATCTACAAAGCTTCTTATAAACTGTTTGGTCTTGTCAGTGTTCAGCCCATCTGACAGGATCAATCAAATCTCTGTGGAAGATTTTTACCCCACTTCAGTTACTTCTCGCCGCCGTCAGGGAGCTGCCAACGTGCAATGTTGTGTCGAAAAGCTTTAACGCGTTAGTCCTGTCTCCACAATTAAACATGAAAACCCATTGCTCCACATTTCCTTAGGTAACGTCAGCCTGCTATTTCAGCTTAATTAGCATCAACTATTGGAGGTGGTTATCACCATGACACATCGCCATGGCAACGTGATCCCACCAGCTGATACGAAATTGGTCCAAATTTAAAGCATGTTGCAAGATTGGAAATGTCTGCATCAGAGGGGCGTACAGGGAAGGAGGGCGGGTGTGCAGGTGTGTGTTATATATGCTAAATGATGGTAATGCATGCTGCTGCTGATGGCTGCAAGGTGTCAGACCTGCATTGTGTTATGCACAGCTGGGCCCAGGCTCTCCCCTTTAGGGTCCCACTACACCAGGCTCTGCAGAGTTGCTCCTGTGAGACTGGTGTGTGTGTGTGTGTGTGTGTGTGTGTGTGTGTGTGTGTGTGTGTGTGTGTATGGGGGGTTATTTGGGAAATTCCTGTGCTGATGCTGTCTCATTCTTTGATCCCCCTCTATAGGACAGCAGACAGTGAGCTGGGGGGTAAAAACAGCTGCTGAGTCTTTCTATATGTCGGACACATAAAGAAATAACATTGATCTGCATATTTAAACATAAAAATAATATTATTATGATATATATTTTTTTTACAATATTGATCCAGGAGCGACAAAGGCAATAGGATGATAATAATAAGCCGGTTATAATAACAATGACAACAATAAAACCCCTAAACAATCATTTCCACAGACTGCTTCATCCCGACACGTCCGCATCGCTATGCTGATGCATCATGAGCAACATACGGTAAATATTGTGGCCGTGCAGCCTCGCCCCTCTGCCAGCCCTGCACATACACATACACATACACATACACCGACACACACAAACACTCACCACACCGAGCCGTAGGCACCGGAGCCCACCGGCGTCAGGTTCTGGTACCGCTCCGGAACCTCCCACACAGTCTTGTTCAGCTCCTGCCGGTAAAACCCTGGTCTGGCAGACATGTCTCCGACTCCGAGCCGGCTACAGGAATAAAAAAAGGGAGTGATTAAAAACAAGAGAAGCGGGGGAATAGGAATGAACGGAGGAAAACGGTAGAAGGGACCGGAGGCGCGGGCCGCCGTCTGCTGCCTGAGCTGAGCTGCTGTTGCACACAGAGAGCCGAGCAGTGACAACCTCCCTCTCTGTCTGCCTCCCTCCCTCCCTCCTACAACACCCACCCCCTCCTTGTGTCTGCACGTCCAAAAAGTTGCTATCATTAACTATTATTAATAAGAAAGATAACACAGATGTGATATGATAAATTGTCGTAGGCTGAATTGTTTTGCAACATGTAACTTGAATAAATTGATGAAATACTGTTCTGGAAATGACAGCACACACACTATTAATCCTCTCAGCAGCTACAGCAGCAATATGGCTTACTAAACTCTGAGTTTTTATATTAGATATCTACAAATTAGACACTTAATTACTAAAGATACCACATTAATAATCAATACCATTTCACATGTGGTAAGGGCGTTGTCTTCATAGGTATCTAAAGCCCCCACCAAACACTTTCAGTGTGGTACCTTTATTTAGAACCAAAAGTAACCCTTCAGACATGGTACCTAGACCCTAGGGTTTCACATTTCACCCCATTTAACGTCCACAGAACGAGGCTGCATGCCAACATTTCCAGAACAAAATAAAACAGGCTGCAGTGAGAGTCTCTCTCCATGGCGTATCTAAAATAGTGGGTTTGTGAATTTAGTCCTTCCAAGGCAAGATCAGGGGTTTAGTGTTGCCGGAGCCCACAGGAACTATGCTCTGCAACACTTTTTTTTTCTCCAAGTGAGAATTGGGATATATGTGCAGTACATATAATCCGGCCAATATTAAAATATATAAACACTTGAAGATCCACTCATTACTAAAAGTGTATGTCATATAAAAACTAAAGTAATGGTCAACGTTGTCACAGTGAAATTTAAGGTGTGTTGATTGATTCACGTCGTCAACTCATGCATCAGTAACATTGCAAGTTAGACTCCAGTTGCCGTGAGAGGCAGCAAAACATCCTTTCATTTTATAGTTACAGTTTACTAATAAAACTCTCCACAGTATGAACAGTGGTTACATGAGCCTCAAAACCAGCCACAACTCAGCCCTGAGCAGAGTGACCGTCCTCTATTGACCAATCAACAGACTGCAGTGTTCACAGCTCCACCTTTTAGTACCAGATCTGTGTGCTAGGTACCCCAACAGAGGGGGGACCAAAAATGGGGACGGTACAGAATGGTTCCATTGGTACCATCCACAACTTTTCACAATGGAAACGGAAAATAAAGCATGCAAAACTGAACTGTACCGTACTGCTCGGTGGAAACGGGGCTTATGAAACGCATTAATCACTGAGCTGCTAAGCAAACCTCGGAAAGAGACTTTGGGCATCACTATTTACGACCTGGAATGGCAGATGTAGATGTAGATCCCTGCTATGGAATTATCATCAGTTCAGAGATGTACATCGCACATATATAACACCTGCTATCAAAAACAAAATGGAGGCTAATATTTCTTCTCTCTGCTTTAAGTGTAACTCTGAGTCTGGAAGCTACATTAACTGTTTTTGGCCATGTGTGAAGCTACAAAGCTATTAGTCGAGTATTGTGGATGAAGTGTGTGTTATATCTGGTGTTCAAATTAGACTCTATGTCCCTCTTACTCAGTCTCCTGGGTGGTGATATTATTTTATAAAGTCTGAGACCCTTACTTAAAGTACATTGGACCAACTCTATCATTTTCCATATTACAGGGGTTTCCTAAATCTCCTTCAGAAGTCTCTGTACATTGCCTCTTGTAACCTTGCTATTTGTCTATAATGCCTATTTGTTTGCTTGTTGCTGCCTTTGTGTGGTTGTAGGGTGTGATAAGGGTTGGGGGTGGAGTTAATGCAGACTATTTTTATTTTTTAACTAATCATCAACTGTTGTTGATGTTGCTGTCCACATAGCTACAGTTCACTGCATGTTCTGACTGTGACGATCCCTCACTGAAGAACACATTCAGGTGAACTGCATTGCCAGGATTAGTGGTGGTACCTCTTCCACAGACTGACTGTAAGCATTGAATCAGGGTGTTGCTTTAGCTGTTGCATCAGCTTTAGATATCATTTCCTACTGGAGGATCTGTCACTGGTGAATGCAAAACATATCTTAATGTAAATCCATTACTGTCATCTGGTGGTTGACATGTGCCAGTGCGAGAGGTGTCAAAAGCAGCACCAGTCAACTTTCCAATGAATATTTGCGTTTTCTGCATCAATTATCCTTTCATTGTCTTTAATTTTGTCATAATAATAGTCCTCTGCTAGTACCTCCTGTACCTGTGTCTCTGCAAGGTCCATGTTCTAAATATTGAGAGACGTATGTTCCCTGCCTCGACACTGAAATCTGTCCAGTGTCAGCAGTAGGAAACTGGCTACACTTTTTACATGTATTTGCTTCTACAGTTTGTCCATATGGCCTCTTTGGAGTGGCTCCAGCTTCCACTGTGGTGGTAAGCACACTGATTTGGTGCTCTGAATTACTGACAGTACTGCGAGTACTAGACGTATAGTTTGTCCTGCAGGTGTGATCATCTGAGGTGTCAGAAAAGATCCTGATACTGAAGGTTTGACAAACAAATGCCTCTTCACTGAACCCTTTGGTATGATGTGACTTGGGAGCTGACGGAAGGCCGCAGGTCACAGAATGCTGAAGGGAAATTCAACCCCTGCACTTGACATAAACCTTCATGTCATCCTTCCCAGTTGCCACAGTTCCCTGATGGTCTAGTGGCTGGGATTTCGGTGCTCTCACCACCACTGCCAGGATCTGATTCCTGGTCAGGGAATGCTGAGGAGACACTTGACCCCTGTATTTTATAGAAGCAAACCCATTTTGGGACAGGAGCCTAAATGTTTGATTTACCTTCGTGTCATCCTTCCTAATTGTCATGGTTCCCTGATGGTTTAGTGGCTAGGATTCAGCACTTTCACCGCTGCTGCTTGGGTTTGATTCCCAGTCAGGGAATGCTGAGGAGACACTTGACCCCTGTACTTTATATGAACAAACCAATTTTGGAACAGGATCCTAAATGTTTGATTTACCTTCGTGTTATCCTTCCTGATTGTCATGGTTCCCTGATGGTCTAGCGACTAGGATTCGGCACTTTCACTGCTGCTGCTCGGGTTCGATTCCCAGTCAGGGAATGCTGAGGAGACACTTGACCCCTGTACTTTATAGAAACAAACCAATTTTGGGACAGGATCCTAAATGCTTGATTTACCTTCGTGTCATCCTTCCTGATTGTCATGGTTCCCTGATGGTTTAGTGGCTAGGATTCAGCGCGTTCACTGCTGCGGTCTGGGTTCGATTCCCAGTCAGGGAATGCTGAAGGAAAATCCAACTCTACACCTTTGTGTCATCACCCTTTCTGTTTGCTATGCTTCCCTGCTGCTCTAGTGGCTGGGATTCAGCACTCACCACTACAGCCTGGGTTCAATTCCCAATCAAGTAGTAGTCTAGGGACACTTAGTTGAAGAAGTGTTTGTGTCATAACTAATTGTTGTCGTAGCTCCTCTAATGTCTAGGATTCAGCATTTTCTCCAACACAGCCTGGGTTCAGTATCAGGATCTTTGTGGAAAAGGCTTCTGGATTGGCAGAGATGCACAATCATTGGCCTTTGTCACTCTAATATGGGCAGTGACTACCAATCAGGTTGGAGCATTTCCAGGACTGAGGTAGCGTTGTGAGGTGGCTAAGGAGCAGGTGTTGAAGGAGCAGGGGAGAGCATTTTTAGTTGCTCAGTTTCTGCAGTTGAAGCATTTGGGATTTTAAGAAGCTGCTTGTTGCTGTTGCATGTAGCTATTTGTAAGTACCAAACCTTTTCTAACAGTTTTTGCATAGTTTATAATCTGTTTTGGCTACCAGTGTTTAGTATTCAGTGTTTTCAATTGCTGCTAAGAAGAGCACTAGGAGATAGTTAAGTCATATATGTTAGAATAAAAGTGTTCAGTTGTCAATTAATCTGTTAATGATCATGTTTAATATGCATTGTGTAGATTTGTGTGGCAGAATGGGATAATTTCCCTTCTCTCCCCCTCCTCAGTACCTGCACACCAGGTGTGGTTCAATAATGCCTGCTCCCTGATTGCTGGGAGGAACTGGCATAACTATTATCCGGGCAGGTGTCTGATGCTCTGATGCTCAGTTTACGCTCTTGTTTCTTCCTGGATTCTCTGTGTTTGGCATGGTCTGTGATTTGGCCCAAGTGGCATGGCTGGCAGAACAGCGTGTTTCCTCCAATCTTCTGAAGTTGTAAGTTATACTTCTTACTGCTTGTCTTTGTGGGGATTTGGGGATTGGTAAGACGTTGAGATACAAGTCTATGAGGATAGCACCCAATTCTATTCCCCATGGAGAGCATTGGAAAGACAAGAAGTACCCAGTCATGGAAATATCTCCACATCTCAGTGCAGAGAAGGCAGCATAGACTAAAGGAGTAGAAGTACCACAATGCACTGATCCCCCTGTGAGAAAACAAAGACCTATTGCCCTTATTATGTCAATACCCACCATTTACGAGCAGATGGTGACCTGGATAAAGAGCAATATACTGTGCTGCCACTGTGGTTGAAGTCATCAGGCAAAATGCACACTGAAGGCACCCTGCAAGACATGCAGCCACTGACATCTCTTTATCCTACAAGATCTCAATAAAAAGTTGCCAGAGGAAGACCACACACCAGTGAAGGTAAAGCTGTTAGACAAGACCACCTCCAGTTCTTGCCTTGCAAATACAGTTGAGGAGTTGAGGGAAACGAAAGGTTTTGCTCAAGATAGCAAAGGTTCCACTGACTCATGTAGACTGAAATATGGAGGCTTGTGCTGTGATAGATGATGGGTCTGAGTGGACAATTCTCCGACATGATGCAGCCTGCCAATCTGGCCTGGAAGGAGAACCTGAAGAGTTAGTCCTTCACACTGGAAAAGATACATGGATTGTTCAAGGGTTTACAGTGTCCATGACCATTGCAACATCTCAGCCCACAAGATGATTTTGGATTAGGAAAGCCTTCGCCGCTAGAAACTTGGGTCTAATAGAGCATACACAGCCTGTTGCTGCTTTCTAAAGATTTTCCACACCTTATCGCACCCACAGAGCCTGTCCGCCCCCATGGAGGCCCAGCAGCAGTCAAAACCCATCCAGACCCTGCCCAGAGTGTAAAAATAAGTGCCAACGTCAACCCAGTTATTTCACCTCTTTCCACGCTTTCTCCACTGAGCTGCATCACTATGTCGAGAAGCTTTGGCATCATGACATACTCCCTTATCGCAGCAGTGACCTTGTCACAAGGTCCTGACAGCGCTCTCACCACCACGGTCTGGATTCATTTCCCGGTCAGGGAATGCTGAGGTGACATGAAATGACTACCTGCTGGTCTAGTGGCAAGGATCCGGTGGCAGCCCGGGTGTGATTCACAATCAGGGAATTCTGAGGTGACACCAAATGCCTGTAATTTAATTAAACAAGCCAATTTTGGGACAGGATCTTAATTACTTGATTTACCTTTGTGTCATCCTTCCCCACTGCCATGTCTCCAGAAGCCTGACACCAGATGCCTGTAAGTTAGTTAAACAAGCAAGTTTTGGGATAGGATTGTAAATGCTTGATTTACATTCATGTCATCCTTCCAGGTATCCAGAGCTCGAGAAGCCTGACACCAGATGCCTGTAATTTTGTTCAGTCGGGAGAGATTCATTCTTAGAGAAAAGGATGTTTATTTACATGTGCACCTAAGTATGAGAAATGTGAAAAATCTTTGGCGATTGTGATGTCATCTATTCCAGCAGGGTGGTAAAGACATAGTAGATTAGAGAACCCCCCTATGGAGTCTAGATGCTGGTGGTGGTAATGGTCTTATTGACATGAGATGAAGCAGGAGCCGAGGTCTGGATAAGGTGATTGAAGGTCAGTGGGGTGGAGGAGGGTGTGATGATTCCGGTATGGTCTTGTGGCTAAAAGATTTAGTGTTTGCACTGCTGTAGCCTGTGTTCAATTCCCAGGGAGGGAATACTGAGGTGACATCAGACGCCTGTCATTTAGTCACACAAGCCAATCCTGGGACAGGATCTCAATTTCTTGATTTACCTTTGTGTCATTGTTGCCATGGCTCCCTGATGGTCTTGCGCATTGGTTCTCAATGAGAGGTCTGGTGGCTCATAGAGGTCCTTGAGGGAGTTCCAGGGGATATTTACTATTTAATTCACTATCGAAGTGAGCCCAATGTAAGTATGAGTCATAAGAGCAACCACGGTTTGCTCCTCAATCATAGTTGACAGCAATATATTTCCTGTCATCCTTCCCTGTTCCCATGAATGCCTGATGGTCTTATACAGAAACTTACTTTAAAACAAAGCTGTGTTTAGCCGGTACACACATTCATTAGGGCCATGAACAGTATAACCCTATGGACTTAAGTTCATGATAAGTAATATTTGGCAAAATAAAGGAGTTACACAGTTTCATTGGAGTTAACCCTCTCAAATAGAGCCTGAAATAAGAATAAGCCAGGCCAATATTAGCCGATATTTGCTCATTGCACATATATCCATATTGACTTTTATGTCAACCAGTAACTGACAAGATATTGAAGCACAGAAAGGCCAAAGATATGTTTTGAAACAATGTAGTGACGAGTTTATTGCCCAGTACATTTTTTGGTTGCAAATTTTAAAACAAGTAAATTTATAAGAATATTATCAAAAAATGTTTATAAGTTGTGCAAAACATTATTTATCACACACCCTTTTTCAGATTCTACAGTATAACTGATGACTATCTCTCAGTCACACACGTTTGTCACTATGTCAAACATAAGACCACTCACTCCTTAATTTTGGTATTTATTTTTATTGAAAAGTCTTTAACATAAACCTAACCTAAACATATACTCTTTAACAATGGTCTCTTAAAATGTGAGGTTCATATATGTACACATTAATCCACATCTGTACTATCTGAGTGTCCTAAGTCAATATTTACATGCAAACATACATGTTGGTGATTTATTGACATGGAGATGCACCAAAACAGACTGTCTTGACATAGCAATGAACCAGCCTTTCATACAGTAACGTGAACACCCACGAGCATCAACAACAGTATGCTAGAGGTTCTTGTGGACTTTGAGGTGTATCCTCATGTTGGATCTTTGAGAAAACGTCTTGTGACACGTTACACACTTGTAAGGTTTCTCTCCCGTGTGTGTCCTCATGTGTTTCTTCAGTCCTGTACTACTGTGGAACGACTTGTCACAATGTGAGCAAGGGTACGGCCTCTCCCCGGTGTGGAATCTCCGATGAACCGTCAACTGAATGGCTGTGGCGAAACGTTTTCCGCACAAGTCGCACCGATGAGGCCGCTCCCCCGTGTGAGTGCGTGTATGCACCAGCAAGGCCCCAGAGCCACTAAAGGACATACCACATGTGCTGCACAGGTACGGCTTCTCTTTGTTATGTGTCCTTTGGTGCACGGTGCGCGGGTATAGCTGTGTGAATGTCTTGTCGCAAAACTTGCAGGCATACGGGCGCTCGCCGGTGTGAAGACGCACGTGGGTCGTCAAGACTGGCTTCGTCAGGAACCTCTTGTCACAGTACGAGCAGGCGTACGGCCTCTCTCCGCTGTGATGACGCATGTGGACTGTGAGCAAAGCCTGAGAATTAAATCTCTTCCCACAAACGCTGCAAGCGAAGGCCAGGATTTTAGGGTTAAAGTGATTACGCAAATGTTGTTTCAGGTCTTTGTTGTATTTATAGGCCTTATCGCACTGAGTGCACTTGAACGGCCGTGCCGAAGGGTGAACAAGATAATGTTTTTTCAAAGAGGAACGACGTGCAAAAGTCTCGCCACACTCCAGGCAGGTGTTTTCACTGGCGCTTAAGGAGTCCTCACTGAATGGAAGAGAGACATCGGCTCTGTCTCCTGCCGAGGACTGGATTGTGTTCTCTTCTGACGGCTCCTTGTTTATCCTCAGATCCAGATGTTCCTCCACTCCTTCCACTGAGCTTTCTGAGCATCTGGGTGGCTGGACGGCGGCTTCACCAGCTGTTTCTGCCAACAGAAAACAAGAGAATCAGAGATGAGTTCACTCAACAGAGACTACATGCCAAGTAGTATCCTGCTTGAGAAAATCCTCCGAACAATTCCTGTTGTGACAGTGATTCAATAAAAAAAACAAAAAAGGTTTTTTTTAGATTACCCAGAAAATCATGATACTAAAGATGCTCACCGCCGTCATCTGCCGCACCAGCTTCTTCAGAACATGGAGAGGACGTAAGCGGTGACAGGCCGCGCTCTTGCAGCCGGGTGTCTGGGTTAGTTTCAATGGAACTGTCATCAGTCTCTTCATCATCCTTACTTTGTGGCTTTTCTTGATTTCTTCCTTCTGGTTTCCCGTCTCCATCTCGATCATCAATTTTTTGATAAGCATGATCTTGAAATGCCGCTGAAGTCTGTTTAGATGCCAGCGTGGAGAGGATAGTGTCTGACATGAAGGTGAATTCGCCTGAGAAACGGAGATAATGTTCTTGTTAGAGGCACTAGAGGCATGCTAGTTGTCAGGCAGACAGGCAGGCAGCAGTAGCAAAACTAGAGCACTCAGAGAGCGCAGACCTCAACCAAGCAGCTTGGATTTCCCGCCATTTTATTATTTTATCCACTTCGCTTGAACCGATAACCACCAAAATTTTATCATCTGTTACTTGTCCCATTATCAACCTTTCCTGAAAATTTCATCAACAGCAGTTCAAAACTTTTCAAGTTATTTTGCAGACAAACAGACAAGCAGACCAACACCGGCGAAAAAATGAACTACTTGACGGAGGTAATAAATGGTCTCTATGGTAATTGTAATAGATAATACGGTAGGTATTAGATGGGGAGTGGCGGTTGGCTGAAGCAAATTTTCATGGCACATTAGTGGAAAAGGTGTCTCAGTGCATCTCGACTGTAATTGGGAATAATGCCAGATTCTTACTTTTGGTCAACTTTTGTCGCTTCTGTTGGCGCTGCAGAATCCTCCTCAGATCTTGAGGGTCGGAGACAAACCGCTCAAACTCACAGTTGTGGGAAGACACGTCAAACATGGAGAATACCTAGAAAAGAAGAGTGGGGGTACTTTAAAAACAAGGTTTATCATGTGTATCTATACATTTATTTATTTTAAAGTCTCTGAACTCCTGCATCTTCCTCCAAGATCATTCTTCATTCTTCACTATATGGGTCTACATTTATAGTCTGTGTTGTGGTTTAGTAAGAACTCTTATTCCATTATGACATGATGGCTAATTACTTAGACAAGGTCAGGAAGGTCAGTTGGACGGTCAGTTTATTTTCAGCTTGCTGCCTACCTGTGAAAAACTTGGTACTGGGAGCAACTCTTCCAGTTGGTAGAAGAACTCCCACACCAGGATCTGGAGCGCTGTATCAAAACGAGCTCCATATTGTACAGAGTAGACCTCCTTTGACATGAAGAGAGAGAGGAAAAAAAAAAAAAAAAGATAGAAACATCATGTATCAAATATACAGAAAAAACACTACTGAGGTAGATGCATATGTTAATAGACTTGAAGAAACGGTTCACCCTCAAATCACAAACATATTTTTCCTCTTACCTGTAGTGTTTTTCATCAGTCTACATTATTTCGGTGTGTGTTGCTGAGTGTTGAAGATATCAGTCGTAGAGATGTCTGCCTTCTCTCCAATGTTATGTAACAAGATGGCACTCAGCTTGTGGTGCTCAAGGCACCAAGAAAAAAATCTGTTGTGAGCAGTTTCATGTAGGAACTATTTAAATTTTACTAAACTACACACACCATCTGTATCACCGCGCAGAAGGAAGAGTGCATCTACTCATGGACGAGTTTTTTCAAATGTATTTTTTGGGCGCTTTGAGCACCACAAGCCAAGTGCCATCTAGCTCCATTATAATGGAGAGAAGGCAGACATCTCTAAGGCCGATAACCAACACTCAGCAACTCACAGCAAACCAATCTAGACTGATAAATAGCATGACAGGTAAGAGGAAAAATATATAATTGATTTGGGGATGAACTGTCCCTTTAACAACTGACACCCCTGAAAGAAATGTAAGGATAAAACTCACCTTGAAAAAAATCTCTTTTTCAGATTGGTCTGCCAGCAGTGTCTGAACCAGCTCCACAAAAGCTGACTTTGACATCTCCACCTCTCCATCTTGGTCCTGTCGTGAAGCCCAGTTGAAGTTCATTTCCATGCATTAACAATGTATAACTGAAGGTAAGCAACACCTAAAGACTATAATCCGTCCTTCTCTGACAGATGCCTCTGCTACATTGCCCACCTCTGTCATCCTCTGCTGGAAACTAAGAAGATGGTCCTGGATAGCTTTACAGTCAACATCTGTCCTCTTTATGAACTCAAGGATGAGCTGAAAAACACAAAGTCAAACCTTATAAGCTTCACTGTCAAAATAAAACTGTTACATTTTGACACACCAGACAATAGATGCATTATTCCTTGAAAATGACCCTCACCAGGGGACTATGACATGATGATGATGATAAATGAACAGGAAAGATGAGGACATTGACTCACCCGCGCTTTCAGTCCCAGGATTAGCTGAGCCTTCTGCTTGTAGTTCAGAAGCTCCGGGACCATCTCTATCACCAGTGTGATGAATTCGGCCAGTTTATCATACTGGTCCACATTTCGCTCCTGGGCCACCTGCCACATACAGGCTGACATCAACCTCAGTGGAGGAACCAGGAGGTGCAGGGATGACAGAGGAAGGCGAGGCTCCAACGGCAGGTCTATAGATGCAAGCAGTAAAACAATAAACACCATGTTATTAACTTGTGCAGTCTCAAAACTTAAACAGATGCACAATAACAGTATATTTATCACTTCGTAGCATCTTTGACAGTTATATTACATCTTTCTTAACATTCAACCACAACCTGCTCTGGAATAAGGGACATATATTACAATAACTAGTCAGTCGCTAAATTTTTATGTGTTTCATAGGCTGTGCAATGCTGTCAGAGAATATGCAATATATTGCTGTGAACTTTGACTGAGGAAGATTGCATTTGGTGTGGTTTGGTATAAGCAAAGTTTTTATGTTAAAAAAAAAAATCACAATTAATCACTTCACTGATTGTTAATGCTACCCGTGATAGATTAAGGAAACTACTTAGGGGCTGTTCTTTATTCATCAGAGGAGGGGGTGGCCTGGGTGTGACTTCAGGGTTATTTCTTTTGTTTTTTACTCTTCCGGAAGCTACAAATATTTTTGTGTGAGCCTGCCTAAGTGACTGGTGGAAAATGCATGACTCTACCTCAAATTAGTAATTTGATTTTTAAAACTTATCCTTTTATGTTTGAAAGTTAAAGACAAAATCCTGGAGTTAAAACAACAACAACTTTTTACTTGTCATGCACGCCGTTTAATTCATGCAAACGGTTTATTTTCGGACAAATTTTAAGAGAGGCGTAGGATAAAGTGATTTTGATGAAATATCACTATTTGAAACTCAGATTAAGTTATGGTCTTTTGGGGGGGGGTTGGACAGAAAGATTCATCGCACATGATGTGTCCAAGAACTGTCTGATATTTAAAAATCTAACAATAATTTTTGTTTTTACAGTTTCTCGCTAAAATAAATTGTGTATTCTGGCCATTTTTTCTTTAAAAATCTGCATTTTATTCTTTAAAAATTAATAGTAAAACAAATACAAAATACAACCATTTTAGCTTGTATATCCCTCCCCTAAGCCAAAATAAAAAAACATAAGTGCCTCCCCACTGTGAAAATTATCTGACATGCCTTCTTTTTTGCACCCCACCCCCCTCATAAATGACGAACAGTCCCTTACAATATGCAACCCTAGTTAAATTATTAAATCATATAAACACAGCTGCATATTAATTTCAGTCCGCATACAATAACTGTCACACACATTATTTCATGCTGTTGTAATGTAAGCATGATGGACAGCTAGAATCCAGGAGTTTTATTCAGAGGACACATCCTATTTTTAGTCCTGTTTTGTTTCCTTTTCTTTTTTTTTATGCTGCTAAAGCGTTACCTTTATGTAGTGTCTATCTAACAGAATATTAGAGTTGGAAAATGACCAAACAAAACTAAACTATAATTAACTTGTCAGTATTCTGTTCTTTGATATTTTATTAGACAGACAGTATCAGTGTGTAATTTGTGGTCCACACTGTGCAGCAGTAGGTGGCGGTAGCGTGATGCTTGCACATACTCTGCGTGTTCTGCGGACAGCTGCGGACTTCTAGCGGTCGCGCGGAGGCGCACGCGGCTCCATTCATACTACAACTGTCGGTTCGCGTCTGTGCGGCGTTCAGCGCATGCGCATGTCCGGATCCACGCTCCAGTCCAGTTACCGGTCGATATTTGATGAAGTCAGAGAGCCAGTCTAACTTGGAGATGATAGGAGGTATGTGGGCGCTACCGCCCTTTTCTTGCTGTTTCTTCTTGGCCCTCACGTATCTGTCTCTCAGGTATTTCCACTTGTAACGGCAGTTGTGTTCGTTTCTCCCGACCGCCCGCGCGATATCCCGCCAGGAGTTCGACAGCATCTGGCTGTCTTTATATCCCTTCAAAGACGAGTCATATATGTGCGGGTGACGGCGGACCTCCTCGCACAGCTTCGTATCAAAACAAGACTCCATTTTATTTTCGTCTTCTTCTTCGTCGCCTTCACAAAACCGTTACAGGAGCTGACGCCACCTACTGGACTGGAGCGAATTGTAAATGGCGCGTGCGCAGTCAGCGCGTTTCATCGCGTACATGGAGTAAAAGACCTCTGTTACGTCTGTTACTGTATGATTGATAAATAAAGCTGAGTTGACTGACTCTTCACCAGATGTTAAAGATTACAAAAACATAACACAAGGATTACGGTGAGGGCAGATTAAAATTATTAAACTGAACATTTATAAATATGTAAAAATGTACAAAAAAAACAATAAGAAATATTAAATGAGAGACAAGTGTTTTTTTCCCCATTTTTAATAGAAATTCCATCCCTCGATCTTCCTTCTCTTTACAAGCTTCTGCGTGAAGTCTTCCACTTCACGAAATTGGTAACAGACAACACAATGATTGCCAACTTGATATTTTACTTCAAATTGCAATTGAAAACCCTTACCTTTGATCATTAACTGGGCCAGAGAGATAGGCCTGCTGTGAGGACTACTGGAAGGCCAGGGTGATGGAGCTGCCACAGAGGTGGGAGGTGAGGGTGATGGAGGCAGTCGAACAGCCAACTGTCTCTTTCTGCATATTGCCAGGTGTTTAACAAAGTCTGCTTTTCTCACCAGCATTGACTGGCAGTTGATGCAGTGATAATGCAGTTGGGGCCGACAGCCTAAACCACATCTGTGGATGGTGTACCCTGAAACATAATTTCATTTTAGTATCATTATAGAGACAATTATGAATCCCCACAGTCTGAATTAAGTTTGTTATTCAACAGAAATCAGAGAGGGACTTATTTAAATTTATTGCTCAAATTAATTCTATTGTCACATTCTGACTGCTTGTGATGAACTATTATTGTCCACTATCAACTAACCTACAGCAGACTATATGAACAACATTGTGCATATCTGGTATTAATGCACTGTCAGACACATGGTAACTTTATTAGCATTTCCTGAGAGACGGTTCCAAATCTTACCTTCATGAACAACTGCACGAGTGAAGTGGCTGTCCAGATGTACCTGTACTTTGCTCAACTTTGTAGGTCTAAAAAATGTTGAGCTGCAGAATGGACAATGATAATTGTTGCAGCATGTGCTGCATCTTTCAATGTCTGGCAGCGACTGCCCACTTTGTATTGTAATATGCATCCTAAAAAAGAGACAACATAGTTAGTCATATTCAAACCCTTTAAATCTGTTTCACAGACAATGAAGCCCAGGCCTAGAATTGGACAAAATACATTTGGATCATCTGTCCTGGATTAATCTTAGGTTGTATGTGTCCCTTAAGTCACTTCATACTTGCTATACAGTCATGCTTAAAACAATGATCATCATACTTAAGAGTCGGCTGAAATCCTATCACTATAATTGCCAGAGTGTGTCTATCTGTATTTTCAGGCAGGGCTACACACCGTGGCTCTGATCAAGCATTGATGGGGGTTCTGGCATGACACTGCTCAAAAAGTGAAACTGCACCATAGGGGGTATTTTGGTGAGATCCTAGGGGTAATTGTTCCTCGATGTCTTTGCCTTTGACCCTGGTGCCACACTGAACACTTTGATGTTGATGACATTTAAGATGTGTCTACAGTGTGGAAATTTATTAGGCACTAAATCAACATTTAATATTAATCACAAAAAAGATAAACAACAACAATAAATGGCCAAATTACGAACACCTTAAGAGGACAAGAGTCAAAATTTGACTCACTAATATTTGGTACTAACGTATTGTGACGGACTGACATGTTGACATTTAGGTAGGAAGTGACTTTTCACTCTTTTTTTACAACTTTTTAAAGTAAAATTGCATAGCGTCTAGGGCTCACAGCAAGAGGGTTGCCAGTTCGATCCCAGGTGTGGGAGCCCTTCTGTGCGAAGTTTGCATGTTCTCCCCATGTCAGCGTGGGTTCTCTCCGGTTTTCTCCTCCCACAGTCCAAAGACATGCAGACTGGGGACTAGGTTAAGTGATAACTCTAAATTGTCCGTAGGTGTGAATGTGAGCGTGAATGGTTGTCTGTCTCTATGTGTCAGCCCTGTGATAGTCTGGCGACCTGTCCAGGGTGTACCCTGCCTCTCGCCCAATGTCAGCTGGGATAGGCTCCAGCCCCCCCGCGACCCTCAAGAGGATGAAGCGGTTAGAAGATGAATGAATGAATGAATGCATAGCGTCTATGAATTGATGAATTGTCCATTTATTTTACCTTTATTTAATCATACAAGTCAACTTTGTTTTTTGTTGTTTTTTAGTAAAACAAAATTGTGACTTTCCTTTCTTAAATTAAAATTGCTTAACGTAGCGTGTATGAATTGTCCATTTATATTGTCCATTTTTATTTATTTTACCCTTATTTAATCAGGCAAGACATTAAGATCTAACGTTAATTCTTTTAACTATATACCATAACTTACCATGTGCATAAACTAGTCTTGTCTTTGGACCTTTAAAAAAAACAAAAAAAAAAACAACACTACTACTTCCCATTATGATGAATCGTATAGCAAAACTGACAAGAGTCATTTCAATGTGGTCTTTAGGCTACCATTACTTCAAACAGCTTAATCTTTCCTGTGTTCCTGTAGTCTATGTACAGAGATGGATATTATAGCCTACATGTTTTCCTTTTATTACACAGATGTAACCAATAACAAAAATGTGTGTTCATTAGATCAGGTTTAGCCTACTTTTTAATGATCCAGAGGATCTTCAAGGGAACTGCACATCAGAGAATCAAATTTTGGAATTTTGTGTTATATAACTTTACCGACAAGACATTGACTAATCAGAAAATTTAAGTCTAATTTCTCATGAAAATCCAGATTTATAGGGGAAAAAAGTCACAAAAGGACCTCCGTGCCCACGTATATCATTTCTACAAAAAAAAAAAAAAGATAATATAAAATGCACTACAAAAATACAAAAAAATTGAGCTGCACTTTTTTAAAAGATTATTTTTTGGCATTACTGCTTTATTCGGCAGAGAGCCTGAGGTTGGACTGGAAGCCAGGCCAGTGTGGTAAGGGCTCAGCTTTAAGTTTGTCGTATGCACTCTACCAGGTGAACTACTGGGGCATGAGATGGAAATTTTAAGCATTATGACTGTTGCATTCTGTAAAACCACTTATGTTGACCCTTGGTAAAGTTACTGAAGCATACATGCTCAGAGGCTCTTTGGCCTCCTGCTGCTGCTGCTGCTGCTCCTGCTCCTCCTTCTGCTGCTCCTCCTGCTCCTCTTCAACAGCTTGTTGGACGCACTGTCCCAAATGGTCTACAAACCGGTCTCTTCTTTCTAATAATCGTTTGCAGGAGGGACAGTGGAAGTGTGCAGTGGGCTTGCACTCCAAATTACATTTATATACTGTGTAGTCTGAAAAAGAAATGCATTTCAAATGTTTGCGCCATTCCTGCGTGCAAAAAAAGTAACTTCCGGTATTCCATGTCACTTCCGTCATGCCATATAAATATATATATAAATATAAATATATATATACACACACACACACACACATATAGATAGATAGATAGATAGATAGATAGATAGATTTATATATATACATACATATGCTTTTTAATTGGAAAGACTCAAGAGTACACAGGAGGAGGTCGCGTATGTGACGTCATAGCTTTCGCTCGCTTCTTGTAGCTTGGCCTCCCCGCTGAAATTCCACTGTTTTATGATTAATCGATTTATGATTGAAGATGTCTGTGTGTTTTGTGCCAGGTTGCAGTCACTCCAAGCTGCAGGAAGCGAGCGAAAGCTATGACGTCACATACGCGACCGCCTCCTGTGTCGTTTTTCTAATTACGTTTTTTTCAAAAGCTGATATCAACAGTTTTACCACAAAGTATGACTTTCTTGACCTTAAAATTTATGTTTTAAATTCATTAACGACATATTTGGATTTCATGTCGCAACTCAAACGGGACCAAAAGATAATATTTCTCTCCTCATTCACTGCCATTCATATTTTTTCCCGATCTAAGGTCCCATGAGCTTCACCGGAAGGGGCGTGACTTCGGCACTCTAGCTTCGCCTCTTGGTATCCATGCTCTTTGATGCTACTCAGCTTCTGTACCGAGGGGAGCTACAATCCTCAATCAAAGTATATCCTGGTAATCCACTATCAGTATGGAGTTAATACAATGTATCTGCAAAAACCTAACGTTGAATACAACAACTTTTTTCAAAAACACACGTTAGCATGTAACGTTGTAGTATCCGTGTAAGCTAGCATGCTAACAAGCAGTTGCAGCACACTATCGTAAAAGTATCATTCAGCGGACTTTACGAAGGGTAAACTTATCGATTAATGCATAATGTGGCAAGCCCATGGTAACTCGCAGATCCATTTAAAGACAAAGCAGCCAACTTTTAACCTTAAACAATTAAAACTGGACTCACTTTCTAGTCCTTCTAACCTTAGGGAGCGCTGTGATGAAAACTGACTGCAGTATTCGGTACTATGACGGCAGTTGTGTTATTTTTTTCCCGACCGGAGTTCGACAACATTTGGCTGTCTTTGTATCCCTTCAAAAACGAGTCATACGGCGGCGGACCTTCTCGCACAGCCTCCGATCAAAACAAGACTCCATTTTGTTGTCTTCTTCTTCGTCGCTTTGAGAAAACAGTTACAGGAGCTGACGCCACCTGCTGGACTGGAGGAAGTTGTAACTGGCGCATGCGCAGTCGGCGCGTTGCGTCGTTTGCAGTTTGAACTCATTTAAAGTTTACATTTCATTTTACTGACTTTAAAAGGGTGATAAGCAAGAAACTGACTGACTGGTTGCGAGGCTACTTACATTTTTGTCACACATAACAACCATTACGTGAATATATTGACAATCTATAAATGTGTACCATGATCCACAAATATAGAAATAATTTACTCTGTAAACACTTACTTTAATTTAACATAAAAATGTTACAGGTTTTTACAAATGTAAAGAGTTTAGCCACAGCAAATACAAGTGAAGCCATATTATTAGTCTGAATCTGCAGTTTAACTAGTGTTTAAATGTATAAATGTAAGGTAGTGAAAAGTAGCTATGTAATGGAGTAGAAGAATAACATAGCAGAACATGGAAATACTCAAGTGTGTCTTTATTCGATTATACAGGATATAATACTTTGAAAAGAGCCATGATTCATATCCAGTAGGTTTTTACCTTTGATACTTAAAGTATATTTGCTGTGTGTATTTATATACTTTTACTTAAATTAAATTTTGCAGAACAGCTTCATCCAAGAAATCTGCTATACATGCATTTATTTATTTATAAATATAAGAAATAATATGTACAAATATGTGGATCAATACTACAAAGTGTGTTAAATATAAATCTTGGAATATAAAAAGTTAGAATTAAATAAGAGAGTATTGTACAGCTGAACAGTATGGCATTCAGATTCGGAATACTTTATTGATCCTTGATTTAGGGAATTGGGAGACATTGCAGCTCAATCAATAATAATACCAATGATAATGATAATAAACTTTAATTATACAGCACTTTTCATACAAGAAATGCAGCACAAAGTGGTTTACAATACGGGCATTATAAGCACTGAGTGCTTCACATTAAAATAGACTTAATGGATATAAAACAGACAAGGTAATTCAATATTAAAGGACAGTTTAAAACATGGATTAACTGATTCATAAAATCGTAAAGCAGTAAAACTATAAACTGTAAAATCAAGTACGATTTTAAAAGAATTGCAGTAGCATCAATCAATCAATCAATCAATCAATCAAACCATTGTTTATTATTTATTATCACAATAAAGTGATGAAAAAAGTCCATAAAAGCAAATAAGTAGCATCAGGAACTATAAACAACAGTAAAAAAGCGAAAAATTTGAATAATAAGAATAGAGTCTGTCGTAAAGGACGGATACATAATAACAGCAACAACAACAACATCAATAAAAACAACCATATCATCTAGCATACACTTGAAATTATCTAACGACACATACCTGTCTAATTTAAATACCTCTTGTAACTTGCTCCATTTATTTTGTGCGAAAAACCTAAAAGCTAATTTACTGAGCACCCAGCTTGCTCATATAGCCTCCTGTTTATAGGCACAGAGAAAATATAAGAAAATAGAAATAAGAAGCAAGAAGATGCAGAAAAATGTGCATTATGCTAGGATATAGAACACAAAATAAATATCAAAATATAAGAAAAAGATACGTTGTACAGGAAATAGAAATATAGGAAATGTGTGCTTAAGACATATGTACAAATATATGCATCTTACTACAAGTGTGCTAAATATAAATGTAAATGTATAACAAATAAGAATTAAATAAGAGAGTATTGTGCAGTGCACAGTAATGTAGATTCAAGTCCGTCTATTACACAGTTTTGCGTATTGCACAGCTGAAAATACAAATGATAAATAAATTATGGGTCATAGCTGCTGGGTAAAATGGGTGAAATAAGTCCAAGGGCCAGTCTGAGTGTCTGACACTGAGGGATAGGGAAGAGTTGAAAAGTTTGATAGCCACAGGCAGGAATGACTTCCATGGTGCATCTCAGAGGATTCAGTCCTGCACTGAGTGTACTCCTGTGCTTGACCAGCACATCATGGAGTGGGTGGGAGACATTGACTGAGATGACACGTAAGTTAGACAGCATCCTTCTCTCTGATGCTGCCACCAGAGAGTACAGAGAGTACAGCTCCATGCTTACAACGTTAGTAGCCTTGCAGATCTGTTTAAGTCTGTTGAATCCGCTCCTCTCAGCCTGCTGCCCAGGCACACAACAGCAAACAGGGTAGAACTGGCCGCCACAGACTCAAACAACATGCTCAGCATTGTCCGGCAGAA